TGTAAGTAATATGCTTAGCTATTTGTTATATAAAAGATTATATTTTTATATAGAGAGTATTCTAAAATTAATATAAATATTTGTGTAAAATTTATATTACAATTGTATCCTATTAGCCAATTAAAAGAACTTTTCATTATACTATATACAATTCATCTTGTATCATAAAAACATCTTTAGAGTATCATTCATTCAAGTTCCTGATGCTCATCAGTACTCTTAAAACTACTTTATTTTTAACAAGAGACTTATTAGAGCTTGTTATGTTCTATATATATCTAATTTAATTTTATTAACATGCTATAATTACTTAATACTTGCAGTCACAAAGATTACTTGTTTAACTATTATGTTATACTATTTATATTCTTATAAAGTTCACTAAGACTCTAGTATCTATCTTTCTGGCATTTTCTCTATTATCTTCTACTAACTGCAACTTAGAACTAGCAGATTCTGACCAAACTACTAATTTAAATAGCCTAGTATGATTACTTCTGTATTCTTTTTTTTTGGCAAGTCTAATAGTTTGGTTAGTTATATGCTTCTTTTTATACATATTTGGTATTTACTTTATTAATCTGTTTTTATAAAAGTATTTTGTAAACTTCAACTAGTCTAATAGTATCATTAAAAGTTTATATTATCTCTTTATTCAAAAATTTTTAAATAGATTTTTATTATCTTAGTTCTTTAGTCTTTTATGTCTAATGGTCTTATTATAAGTTTGCATTTAAGACTTATACAATACTAGTTATTAACATTCCTTTAAGTACATATAATATTACATTTTGCATAGATGTCCAAGTTTCTAATTTCAGATAGAATCTAACTTGATGTACAGTAGTCAACAAAAGTAATGACTAATAATTATTTTTATAATAAAATATATAAAAAATTAAAATTTATATAGTTATAAAGTTAATATTTTTTTATTTTAAAAAAAGTTTTTAATTTAATTTATAAATTTAATATTAATATTCTATAATATATAAGTTTTATCGAGTAGAACAAATTGAGATTTATTATTTTTAAAATTATAAAGTTTAAGATTTAAAATTTTATATATAAAACATATAAAATTTGTAAATTTAATTTTAAAATTAAATATAAAATTTAAAAACATTGGTTTAAAAAAAATTAACTAAAATTATTAAAATAATGTTATTATATTTTAAAGACAATATAAAATAAAAAAAATTTTATAACATAAAACTTATAATTAAATTTTACAAAATTTATATAATAAAAACATAATAAAAACTTAAAATTTTCAAATTGTTAAAAATCTAAAGTTTTAATTAAAAAAATATTTTGTAATTTATATGATTAAAAAATTTGATATTTATATTTTATAATATATAATTTTTACTGAGTTGAAAAAAATATATTTTTTTGTTTTTTTAATAACAAGATTTTCTAAAAAAGATTTTATATATAATTTACTATAAAATTAATTATTAGGCATTATTTTTGTTAAGTACTATATCTGAGTTATAATTATATAAAGCCAACTAATTGATAGAAGACAGTTACTATAACACAGATATAATTTCTAAATTTTATCATAGATGGAATTTAAACTTTAGACTTGCTACTTGGAGGATAACAACCTAACTACTATACTAAAAATATTATTTTCTTATAAAAAAATATTTAATTATATTAAAAAACAATTTATTATAATTTATAACAAAAAATAATAATAATAAAATAATAAATTACTAAAAATTTTTTACAAGTTTTTTCTAAATAAGCAATTAGTTAATAAAACATATTTTTTAAAAATAAATATTAAAAAGGTTTAATAATATAGTGCATATGCACTGCAGTGCATTCTGTAATTTAGCCAATCAAATTTATAAATCATTTATATAACATAAAAATTTTGTGTAATAAAAACTAAAATTTTTCTTTAAATTTTTTAAAAAAACTTTAATATCTTAATATTTCATCTATGAAACTGTCTTTGGAATCCTAATAAAAAAAATTTCTTGCTAAAATTTGTATATACTAGTGTCTAAATAAAATCTTAGATTTTACTCTACTTTTAAAGTGATTCAAAAGTTATTTTTTGTTTATATATAAATTTGTAAATTAATTATAAAAGTACACTGCAATGCACTATATACTAAATACTAAAATTCTTATTAAAAACTACTAAATAATAAGTTTTTAAAACTAGATGACCTAATAAATAAGGTTTACAAGCTTACTAAAAAATATATTATACTAGTTTTAAAGCTAATTTTTAAGCAAATTTTAAATATAAAAATAATATTATTTTTAATTTTTAAATTATCAAGTTTAGTATACAAATTTGTATACTAAAATTTTTGAATAAAAATTTAATTTAAAAAAACTTTTAATAAAATTTCTAATTTAATTAGTTATAATAACTTTTAAAAACTTAAATTATATAGTATATTTTATAATTAAAGCATTTATCACTTTATATAACCTAATCAAAAATACAAATTGATATAATAAATTAAAAAGTAAGTCATCTTATCTTTTTATTATTATTTTAAAAAATTAATTATATAAAGTTAGTTATAAAGAATTCTTAATTAACATTAATATTATATTATAAAAAGTATCAATATATAATAATTATAATAAATTTTTATAAGTATTATATATAAACTTTTTTTAGTATTAAATTTAAATATTAAGAACCTAATTTTTAGAATATTGTTAAAGAAATTTTATAAAATATAAATTATTTAATAACTAATTTGCAGTATATTTTTAATTTAGCTTAAAAAATAAAAGAATAAAACTTAATAAAATTTAAAATAATTAAACAAAAATAAGTTAAAAATAAAATATAATGACAATAAAATAGATAACTTGTTTAGTATTTAAATCTCACAAATAATAATTTTAGAAATTATATTTGTGTTATAATAACTATTTTGTAATTAGTTAGATTAATATATCTGTAACCTTTAGTTGCATCATCTTGAATAGAAGCTCTGAGCCTTTATACAAAATGTAATATTATATATATATAGAATAATATTAATAATTAGCATTATATAAGATTTTAGTACAAACTTATAATAAGACTACTGAGTACAGAAAATAAAAAAACTAAAGAGTCAAAAGCCTATTTAGAAATTCTAAGCAAAAAAATAATACAAACTTTTAATAATACTATTAAACCAATAAAAGTTTATAAAACATTTTTAAAAAAATATCAGATAAACCAAATAACAGATATATAAAAAAAACATATGCACTAATCAGATTATTAAAATTATTAAAAAAAAAAATACATCAGTATACTATACTAGACTATCTAAATTAGTAGTCTAAAAGCTTTTGGTTCTAAGTAACAGTTAGAAGAAAATGATAAAAAAGATATTAAAAGGATAAGTACTAAAGTTTAAATAAACTTTACAAAAATATAGCAGTTTAATAATTAGTTCTAATTGCAAGTATTAGTTTAGATCTAAGTGGTACTAAGTATAGACTATTGAAGGCTTTGATAAGTTTAGTACAAAGTTAAAGATTTTCTATATAAGTAAACTGCTTTAAAGACTTTGTAATAATAGTATATCTTTATCAATATCAATTAAAATTATTGGTAAAAATAAATAAATAATAGATACAAAACTTAGTATTTAAATAATAGCCTTACAGATATATATATTAAATAATTACTAATTATAAAAAATTAAATTAAACAAATAATTCTAAAATTTTATAAATATATTTTTATATTTATAAAAATATACTTAATTTATTTAGACAATAATTATTAATAAAATTTTTGAGCTATAAATTTGATTAGACCTTTTAAATTTGTTTACTTTAAGTAAACTTAAAATAAACAAACTCAAAGAATTTAATCAAATTTATAGCTCAAAATTTTATTACTAAATTATTGGTTAAATAAATTAAGTATATTCTTATAAGGAGTTATATACATGTACCTGAAGGTACATGTACCCACATCACGTGACCTATATTTATATACATAGTTATTATATTGTATAATGGTATGCCTTACATAATATTGTAATAACAATTTGCCACATTACATGATTATACTGTGTCTTATTTCCTGACTATTATTTTCACTTATTCAACATTGCACAGAATAACTAAAAATCTAACACCAGCCCTACTGCGCAGAATAACTAAAAATCTAACTCTAATCTTATTGCACAGAATAGCTATCAATCTAATCCTAATACTATCACTATGTGAAGTCAAATAGCTTATAGAATAAATTACTGGTGAACTAAGTAGCAATCATACTATATCGATATAGAATCGAGTTTTTATTCATGTGATTATGTATGTACAGTACATACTATATACATACATACATACTACATTCACACTTGATTTTTTTGTCTTACAAATATTCATATACCAGAGACCATTAATTTTACATGTATATTAAAACTGAAGAGGGATTCACTCTAGATCAGGCACTGTCTCTGCTGTTTTATTTACTCAGATTAAAACTCTGCTGATAACTCCCTATCGATCATTATCATAAATTATCAGATAAACATTATTTAACATTTACATGGATTACATGAATAGAAATCATTTCAGGAACAAGAAATAAACTAGTGAACTATTTTGATACTAATAAATGGTAAATGCCTACTTACCCTTAAATAAGTAATAATTATTTGTCCACATGTTATTCAATCAAGTAATATGCATTCTATATACATAATTATATGTATAGTACAATAGCCTTTACTAGAAACAATAATGTACAAGATTACTACATTATAGAATCTATCCTATTTTTCAGTTAACTTTACAAAGTGTTGAAAAACTTTAACAGTATAACTATTTGCATGGTACTTCTAATTAAATATATAATAATATAATAAAGCAAGGAATAAATACACTAAGTTGTATACAACTAAGCAAAAATTAATTATGCTTGGATATACAATCTAGTATACTACTTATTAATCCTTCAGCAATCTATGTGTAATAAACTATCTAATCATGCAACTATTTTTTCAATATGAATATGGAATACTCTGTTGTTTATGCCATGCTTCGCAACTAGCTCTGTTATGCCCAGTATTTTGACATTGTTGACATTGTGTTTGTTTTCTGGTCTTTTGTATTTCCAAGTGTTGTTTAGTATCAGATACATACTTTTTTTCTAATTCATTAGACGCTTTAAACCACTTTTTTCTTGGAGCGCCCTTCTTTGGATATACTATCAGATTTTCAACTATGATGAAGTTTTCTTTGTCACTGGAACTAGAACTTGTAGTTTCATCATCATATTCCTGTTGACTTATATTTCTTTTTCAACTTATTTTTTCTTTGTTTTTTGGTGCATACTTATTAATAAACTCATTCATAAAGCTCTCAAGCTCTTGTATTGCATGAGTTCCGGCATCTAATCCGATCTGAATAGCCTTTTTCAATAATCTATTTGCTGTTACATAGGCTTTATGATGATTAACTTTAGCATGAATATCACTAAAAGAAATATCCAGTAACCGAAAAGATAAATCAGGAAAAGTTTGTTCAACACTAATAGAAGTCTTTGAATTACCCAATCCAATGATAAATGGATGTTGCTATGTTTGTGATTCATGTTTAATTTGCTTTTCGTCTGTATACCACCTTCTTGATAAAAGTATAATATAGAATGCAGCATAGTTGGACATAGTCATAACTTTGAAAAAATGCCTACAAACCAAACCATACTGAACCAAGCTGAGACATGTACATAAATGTGAATTATCTTGAAACAATAATACATAGTTTTTTTTATTGCACCTATGCCAGGTAACTTCCCAAACTTCATGGATTGATTCAACTTTTGTAGATGGTATTAACTCTTTAACAAAAATAGCAGATATATCAATACAATCTTCAACGAAGGTATTAAAATCCTCATGTGAATTGAACTGATCAGTTTGTTTAATTAAATTAGACTGTTTATTTAAATCGAATTGCAATTCTGACCCTTGAAAATTATCAATACATTGTGACATATACCATATGGCCTGGGCAATTTCCTGCCACTGCATAGATAAAGAAGTTGGTATTAAATAAGTAGTAATCTATTTGTCAATCTTGGGTGAAAATTCCAAACTAGCATGAATAAGCATTGATTCAATAATAGAATAAATCCAGTTTTTATATTGAATCAAAGTAGATGCACAATTAATTTGTTTATTAATATGTTTTTCAAGATTAATTAAAGATGTACTGCTATTCACTGAGTTCTTAATAATAGTGTTTTGACCTTCAACTCATTGTGTAGACTGCATGCTAGCAGTAAAAACTTTAGAAATATAACAAAGGGCCCAATGTTGTTTTTTATTAAGAAGAGCATGATTAAGATATGACATAGCATCTGAGAAGTTTGTTAAAAGTTTATTCTATAGAGAATCAAATTGTTGATATGAAAGTGAGTTGTGCATTTGATATCAATGTTTGGAAAATTCGTCATAACATGCATCTAATTTTTCTTTTAAATTTCTTATTAAATTTTGCCCTACATGGAATATACAATGAACATGATATGTGTTAGGCAAATTATTGGCAATAGCAGCATTAACAGCAAGATCATTGTCCGTTATTAATATCAAAGGTGCAAAATTGGTATTTGTTATTAAAGATTAAAAAACCCATTCATAGCTTTCAGTCATTTTGTCATTTATAAGGGCTTGCCCTATTAAACATGACCTATTGTTATTGTCCACTATTAAAAAAAAGCCTAATGCTATTTTAAACCAGTTTGTTGAATAAGTGTTATTATGTTGAACAACATCTTAGTATCATATGTATAAATCATATTGATCGGGTAACATTCAAAATAATGAGGTAAGACAATTATTGGCAGGATCAATTTTCCAATTTATAATCCACCTACTGTCTTTGGCTTTACATTCCAAAAGATTATTAAGTAAGGTAGCCACCCCATATTCAACATTATTTTTCTGCTTGAAGATCTGGATAGCATTTGAAAGATCTTGAGGCAAAAAGAAAACATCTGGATATTACTTTACTAACATTTGATATTGTGTTTTCATATTGATATTTCTGATTTCAGTCCAAAATTTGATATCTTTTAGCATGCCCTCAGAAAATTCTCAGTATTTTATAGCAAACTTGTTAGTTTTATCCCTTATTTGGTGATCATTATGATTCAAACAGACTGAATTAATCCTTAATACATCTGTTGTTTTAGGACAACTAGCACGAATTTGCTAGTGACACCTAGTACATTTACTTCATGTCTGTCATTGATCTTCAGCAATGCTAGTTTTGTTTATACTACTATGACCCTGGTGCTTACAAGCATATCTGCAGCTTCGACAAATCCTGTTACTGTATTCTGAGCCATATATAACATTCACAAAATTTTGTGATTTTGCATAGAAAGATATGAAATGGTCAAGTTCATTCCAACTTCCAAATATTTGCCCAGCTGCTGGTTCATTCATTATATTAGCCAAATCCTCATTACTTTTATTGAAACTTGATTAGAATTTATTTGAAATGGCTTTAAACCAAAGTAATTCAAAACTTGACTTACTATAATTCATTACAATCAAGTTCACCAACTATTATAGCTGAATCCTCATTACTATTATTGAATTTAATTAAAATATATTTAAAATAGCTTTGAAATGGCTTTAAACCAAAGTAATTCAAAACTTGACTTACTATAATTCATTACAATCAAGTTCATTCCAATTGCTAGCTGTTTGTTCAACTCCTAGTTTACCAACTATTATAGCTGAATCCTCATTATTATTATTGGATTTAATTAAAATATGATTAAAACTGCTTTAAACCAAAAGTTACTTAAGAAGTTTTGACTTACTATAATTTAACAAAATTGAGTTCATCCCAACTGCCAACTGTTTGTTCATCTATTACAATAGCTAAATCTTCATTACTATTATTAAGTTTAGTTAGAATATATTTAAAATGGCTTTGAACCAAAAGCAATTCAAAAAAAGGCTTAGCTTACTGTAATTCAATATTTGAAAAATGTTTTTCAGTGAGTTCAAAGTTGTCTTTATTTTCCATTTTTATGAACACAGTTCTAACTATCTGATTTTTTTAAAACCAATTTTAGGTACCAAAAGAAAGGTGAATAAACAGGTAGTTTGTGGATTATGGCTTATAAAAAGAAGTTACTTAAACTTTCTAACACGAGTAAAAGAATACAACTAAAGGAAATGATAATTAAAAAAAATCTGGCTAAATACTATTCAGCAGGAAATAATGAAATTGCATAACACAGTATGAGAAAACACACGAGTGGTTCAAAGGTTTAAAAAAACAGGTGTACAATAAAACTAGCCTTATAGGCCAAGTTAATGAGTAATACATTTGGTGTTCAAATGAAAGAATTTAATAAAATGTGATCAAATGTTCAAAGTAAGCTTAAAAAAACATTATCCAGTAAAACTATCCTGTATGTACAAAGTTAAAATGTGATCGAACATTTGAAGTAAGCTTTAAAAAAACATTATCTAGTAAAACTAGCCTGTATGTGCAAAGTTAATGAATAATTTGGTTTGAGCTCAAGTGAAAGACTTTTGATAAAATATGATCAATGTGATTGAACGTTTTGTATTTGATTTCCAAACTTAGCAAACAATATCAATATTACTACTTTTGTATATAGTATCATTGTACAGATGCAACTTAATAACTCCGATATGCATTAAAATAATGGGTACAAAAATTATAAATGTACTCTACAGGTACATCTATATTAACTCTTCTTATAAATATAAAAAATATATTTATTTTTTTTTTGGTATTAAGATGACCTCTTTGGTCTTTTGACTTTTATTAATCACTTATCAGTATTGTGGTTCAATAAACCACTACAGAAGAGCATACAATTGGCTACATGTGTAACTTTTCTATATTACCTATTAAGGAGTCTACCTGAAGGTTCCTTACCAATTGCTATACCTAACACTCCTGCTTGAATGTTCTACTTTAAACCCTCTGAACCTATACTCTGTGTTAACATCACTGGTCATCTCAGATGTCCAGATCATTGTTCTCAACCTTAAGACTAATTTATTCTCGAGGTAAACCTCCCAGAGCCTTCTGTACCCATTTTTACAGCTAACCTAGATATTACTATGATAGAACCAACACTTGTAGTTAGGGCTAACCATTAAACTGCTATGCTCTTATAGAGTTTACTTAGATCTTAGCATCTACTTCATAGCATAATCCTAATACTTTAATATACTCTTGCCTTTTTTCTTGCCCTTTTACCAAACTTCCAATCCAGATAGTCCATGTAGGACTATGATTAGTCTATCAGTATATTAAATCGACCTAATATCCTTTTTCTTCAGTTTGTTTCAGCAGCCTAGTTGGTAGTACCTCTGAAACTTCCAACCCAGAGGTTCTTGCCTGTTCAGCTACTAGAACTGGGTACTAGACCTTGGTATCTGTTTCACCGAGCTAGTCTTTATAGTAGAGCTGTTAAAGATCCAGTTACTTCTTTACTCAGGTCTTTCCAAATAGACTTCTTGTTACTTAATTTCAACGAATTTACATGGCTACAAGGACTTATTTAGTGTTTGCACCACCTGATATGTCAGTTTGCATTTCTCTGTATAACTTCAACATTGTACAGATGCCCCATAACCTGCCAGTTATGCTGGTGTGACTGCTATTACAGGTATCTTAATCTAATCATTAGTAACAGTTGCCATAATATGAATATTACATAGATAATTATCCAAATTTTCACTATCGATAGGATTTGAACACTTAACTTACTACTTGAGGAGTTGACAACCTAACCACTTCACTAGGTTACCACACTCCAGAAAATATATTTATAAAATTTTAGAATTATTTGTTTAATTTAATTATTTATAAGTAATAATTATTTTTTAAGAATTTGAAATTTGTCTGAATTTGGCTAGCATGTATACTCAAAGATAGGTTCTAGATATAGCAACTAGTATAGAATCTTTGAACAAACTATTTAAATTAGACAATAACTAAAGTTGTACAAATTACTAATTTTATACTCTTTTTATTATTACTTTTATAATTGTACAAACAGCTATTAGCTAAATTATACTATTAATAAAATTCTAAATTACAAATATTTACTTTAATATTAAAAAAAAAGGTAAAAAAAAACATTTTAGTATTTAAATTTGTATACTAAATAGTTTAAAGAATAGAATATATATTAAGAATATTACTAATTTTAACCTATAGTGATCATCATCTAGGATGTTGTATTTCAAAAATGCACCAAAAAACAGAAGTCAGATAGACTAAATAAAGATGTTCAGACTCTGAAAACCTCATAATATAAAATTTGAACTATTATATTTACTGTCTCAAACTGCATTCCAAAACTAAAAAATAGAGGTAGTGATAATTACTATTGGTTAATTGTAGTATTTTTTATATATTAATATCAAACTTTATAATATAAATAACTAAAAGTCTATATTTTTAGTAAACTGTAATGCAAAAATTTTTATTAAAATTATTGCTAACAAGTTAAATATAATTTATAAAATAATAGTATCTTAAAATAAAAAAATGAAGACAAGCTATAATAGCATATGCAGATAATACAACATAAAGGCAAATAAAAAAAAATATTAAAATAGCAGAAGATTTTTTAATAGAAAAAAAACCAAACTTATTATGATGAACACCAAAGAAGAAAAAAAAAATAGAATAATCTTTTTTGGCAAAGAATAGATTTAGAAGAAGTGAAAATAAAATTATACAATTTTTAGAAATTTGGCTAAATTGCAAACTTAAAGAATCAATGATAAAGTCAAGAGCTAAAGAAATAGTATGAATATTTGTAAGGGGTCTAAATCCAAAAAAGCTAATGATCAACCAAATATCATATATTAGCAACATGTGCATCATACTCAAGTTGACCTATATGCTACAAACAATAAGATTATTAAAAAACATATACTGATAATTGGTCTGATAAAAAAAAAAAAAAATCATATAATCTGTAAAAAATAGCATAATGTATTACAAAACTTGGGTAATCTTAACTCATTATGGGACCAGTTACTGCTTAAGCAAATTACTAGTTTGCATAATTGACTTAATACAGCAGGCTCAGAAGAAGCAATAACAAATATAAACATAAAAGATAGTTTTTATTTAATAAAAACATTTAAAAATATATAGCAAGAAAATATTTCTGAAGCAAATACAAAGCTGTAAAAAAACAATTTGGCATATTTAACAATGCTAATTAACAAAGAAGGAAACAAAATGATTATATAGCAGCAATTAAGTTTTCTAAAAAGAGTCAATACCAAAGGTAAACTAGCAAACTAGTTCAAAGTTCTAAAAATAAAAATGATAGAAGAGCCAAGCTGCAGAATAGTAAAGCCAGAATTTAGAATTACAGCTCCAAACAAAGAAAAATTAAAACACAAATATAAAAACTATCAGATGATGCAAAATAAAAAGATTAAATAGTTATAAACAATACACTAGTCTATAAAAAAGAAGAAGTACTAGTAGGAAGAGTAGTAGCTAGAATGCCTAAAACAGTACAAGTCGAACACTAGAAGGCAATTTACTAACCAGAAAGACAAAAAATGATATTAGAAAAATGTAGAGGCTGCAAATATAAAAACAATAGTACTAATAATAGGTGTAAAAAAAAATACAAAAAAACAAAAAATTTATAAAATGATTACAAGATACACAAATAAAAAAGATGCATAACAACTAGAAATTAATACAAATATATTAGATTTTATTGTAAAAAAAAAGATTGCAAAATCTTAAACTCTGAAAGACTTAAAAGCAATTTGTATAAAAAACAGAGATATTAAAATAATTAAGAAATAAAAAATTAGTAATAGTATTACAGAGTTATTAGTAGAAAAATATAAGCACATTAAAGAGAACAATGTTAAGCAAGAGAAGTTAATTTTTTATACAGACAGATCATTAGTAAAAGCAAAAAAGAAAAATCAAGATCCAGACTATATGGGAGCTAGTTGGGTGCAAGTAAACAATAAAGAAGAGTATATAATAGATGAAGGTGCTATTAGAGCTAAAAGATAGCTATCTTCAACAAAGGCAGAGCTGCTAGCTATCTAGTGTATAGTTATTATAGTACTAAGCAAAAGCAAAATTAAAATATACACAGATAGTGCAGCACTATAGCAAATATATGTAATAATACACAACATATAATGACAAAAAAAAGAAAATTATAACTTAGTTATAAATATAAAAAATACAATATGAGCAAAGAAATTAGATTTAAAGTTAGTAAAGATAAAAGGACATAGTGACAATAGGTGGAATAGCAGAGCAGATAATATAGCAAAAAGAAGAGCAAATATACAAGATAAAAATAAAATTATAGAAGAACCTGTCTCAAGATCTAATGTACTGCTTTTTTGGAAAGACAAAGTAGTAGAAAACCCAATATGAAACTTTGTTAAAGAAGTTCTTAAAATCAGAAACAATGCAAATTGAAGCTATATAATTAAAAAACTAGAACCAAAAAGAGAAAAAAGTGAGCATTGCTAGGTACTATTATGGAAAAAGATCAAGAATCAGAGTAGAACAAAATGCATCTTAATTACAAAAAGTAAAAGACTAAGTACATTCTTTAAATACATACAAAAAAAAATGCTCATACTTAAGGAATTAGTAATAAGATGACCAAACTTGTATGCAGATGCAAATTGTATAGTTTGCAAAGAAAAAAAAGAAGAAGACTAGGTTCATTTAGTAACATGCTCTTTTTATAATAACTATTAGATAAAGGCAAAAACATTGGCAATAGCAATAGCATAAAGCATACTTCCAGAAAAGAAAAAAAAGAGTATTATTCAAATACAGCTAAAAGAAGCAATCTGGAGCCAAACAGAAGAATAAAATACAGAAGTAAGAAAAAAGCTTATTAAAGGTCTTTTGCAAGAAAAGTTAGTAAAGAAAGTACAAAATATTTTGATTTCAGCACAAAAAACAAAAAATTTTTTAATAAGTACAGTAGATATTATATGGAATAAGTTTTACAAAAAAAA